AACTGAACAAATGTCAACGGGTTAAGGTGGGGCCCCCTACAAGGCGGGGCCCCTGGGCTGCAGCCCATTCAAGCCCAATGGTAAGTCCGGCCATGGCCGTGCCGCTTGCGTCCGGTGTAGAAACGGTGTTAGGATTCGTGTTTTCCCTTATAAGGATTCACACTTTGGGCACACCCCCTAACTCCACCACCACCCTCCCCCCGCTCGCCGCTGCCCCCGCTGATGTCCATCCATCGCGATGTTTTACTGTAGACATCGTCCGATGCCAATTTTGTAGACATCGCCCAACCCTAATTCATTGTGCAATGTAGAAAGCGTCATCGATTATAACATGACTTTTGGTGAGAGTCCAGAAAAAGAGCAGGTTCTGAGTACCTATCCAGGGATATTGTCTGGGCCTGGTGATTTTTGCGGGTTTATTTTCCTGAAACTTTGTGCCACATCTGCAGATGAGATTGTAAATGGCAAGTTTTCTGTGATCCCACCAGCCAGTTTTAACCTTGAAGTTTAAGTAAGAAATGCATGTAATTTCTTTTTTTTTTTTCAATTTATAAATTAAAATCGGGATGGAGTTGACCCAGGAAGAGGCAGAAAGTTCCAATGGTATTTTTTAAATGAATTTTAATATGTTTGTATTATATGTATACATATACAGATTTAAGATGGTCAGAAATTGTTTGCATCGTAGAGAAGAGGAATAGAGTATTGCTTTTTTTCCATAGGAAAAAGAAAAATGTCCCCAGATGAGGCTGAGAGCTCCACAGGTATGTTTAGGTGTGTGTGTATGTATAATACTGATTCTTGAGGCATGGGTCAAAACATGTCAAGCAAATATAACTGCTATTAGATTTAAGAATGAAAATATTTTCAATTGTAAATGTTATGGGGGATTAATAATAGAATGTATTTAACACAATTATCCCCTTAAATTGAATTTTATCATTATTATATGAAATCTATGACAATTATTGTCTTCTCACTATATCAGAAACAGTGTCCACATAGAAGAGCTCAATCATGCATATGCTATAAAATGGATAAAAAATGTTTAATTTAAAGCAACACTTAATAATATCTTATATCAAAGCAAGGTTGTTTTTCAAGTACACATGCATGTTTCATAAGGTTTCAAAGTTGTGTATCCACCTTTTGTCAACACCGTCAGACATTCATTAAAATTGAAATAAATCAGGCAATATCAGGGGCAGCTGTCGCTCTAACGGACCCCCTTGCCACATTTCATCTCTGCAGAGTACATCAATTTCAGACAGGCTCTGGTAAGTTTTATAGTTTTAGAATATTTTAAATCCTAATGCTAATATTTCCTGTGTCACAACCATGATATATCAACACCATCTTCCAAATTCTGAGGGAATTATTTGAAATATTTAGATAATTTTATTCTCCTGAAGCAGGTTCTTTTGGCATCTAGCATCAACAGAGAAAACAAAATGGCTACTACATGAACTCCATTTGTTTTGATAAAAAAAAAAAAAGCCAAATTTGTCAACACTGTCAGATGTCACCACCAGAACATAAGATTCAGGGAACATAATGCTTAGGAAACACAAAACACAGTTCGTTTGTATTCTGACTATGTGTTCTGATCATATTTAGATTATTTGTTAAGATGATTAAATGTAAATATTAAGATCCTGGTGAATGTAAATGGATAGAGGTAACAACTAATTGTTTTATTTGTTGATTTAACTGTTTAAAAGTTGCCTTGTTACCATAGCAGATGCACTGCAAGACATACTGTTCTGAGATGAGAGAAAATACAGTTAGGTCCATATATATTTGGACACAAGCACAATTTTTATAATTTTAGCTGCTAACCAAAACATATTCAAGTTAAAGTTATATATGAATATGGGCTTAAAGGGGTCATATGATGCGATTTCAGGTTTTTCTTTGTCTTTGGAGTGCTGTGGAAAGCTGTTTGTGCATAGATAAGATCCGTGAAGTTGCTAAGACTAAAGTCTCAAACCCAAAGAGATATTCTTCATAAAAGTTAAGACTAGTCCACACCTTTCTAAAACGCCTAGTTTAAACACGCCCCCACATGTCTACGTCACTGTGTGGGAAGATTTGCATAACACCTCCCAAATGTATACGCAAAGAAAGAAGGTGTAACTTT